TTAAAATCTGACTGAGATGCTTTGGCATGACCCTAAACAGGGCTGTTTGCGCTCAAAACTCTCCAGTGTGGCTGAATATAAAAAATTCTGCAAAGAAGAGTGGGCCAAAATCCTTCCAAAGTGTATGAAAGACTCATTGCCAGTTATCACAAACACTTGATATGCAGTTCTTGCTGCCAAGGGTGGCACAATCCGTTCTTAGGTTAGTGTTAGAGAGTTATCTCTGGGATGCTGGTGTGATAACTCCTTCAGGACAAGGACTCCGATCAGAGAGTGGGGCCCAGAGAGTGCTTTCCAGGTATACTTTAATGAACATTAACTGATTCAACAGCAGGCCAGTAGTACAGCAATTGGCATACTCAGTGAGAGTATGTGAGTGGTTCTAAATAACAAGAAAACAGGAAGAGAATTACTTTTTAACATAGAGCCAGATAGATCTGAACATTTTTTTTCCCTTAATAAATTAAATTACCATTTAAAAAATGGATTTTGGTATTTCCTGCAAATACTGCACTGTACAGCCTGCTGTATTAAACTGCCAGTGGACAAAATGGATGAGCTGTAGGTGCAACTCTTGTGTAACATACCTTATCATATCCTAAAGGAACCATGTCTGCTGTCTACCTTCTCCTCCTGCTGGTCCCCACAATCTCGGCTCAGACTTTTCGCTTTGGTGCCTGCCCTACTCCGAAGGTGCAGTCTAACTTCAGCCTTCAGCTGGTGAGCACAAACAGTATTCTGTATACATACATGCAAAGTAAGCAAAGAGCTGTACAGAAATGATGGCTCATCTTTATTTACAGTACCTGGATAAGTGGTATGAGATTGAGAAGCTGCCTGCTTCTTTTGCCAGAGGACAGTGCATTGAAGCGAATTATTCTGTAAGGAAAGATGGGACCATCCGAGTGTTGAACTCTCAGGTTGTGTAAGTAGTAAGCAACTTGTGGTTTGCTAAAGGAAAACACCACTTTAATTGTAACAGGTGATAACATGGCAATTGATTTTCATTATGTTTTTGCACGGACGACTGAATTTCTCTCGTAGATCCTATTAATCTTACAATATATTAGAGTCCTCACAAGTATCATATTTTGCATTATAAATATAATAGAATAGCCCTTCCTTTATTGTTATTGTACATGTACTACAAACTTATGGAATATGAATGAATCAAGTATTAAACTTGATACATTCATATTCAAAACTACGGATATCTACTACAGAATTAAACAGTTGTCAGCCACCTCCTGTACATGGATGGCATCAAGTTGTATGCCAAGAGTGAACGAGAGATCAATTCACTGATCCACACCACCAGGATATACAGCAATGACATCGGAATGTCGTTCAGACTGGAGAAATATAGTCGGATGATAACAAAGAGAGGGAAGGTAGTCAGAACTGAGAGGATCGAACTACCAGAAGGCAACATTGAAGCCACTGACATAAAGACAAGAAAGCTCCTGACCATGCATGGAGGGTTTCACCCCAAGTCCAGCATCCTGAGGCCGTATGCTAAGCGGAAGGAAGGAGGGACTGGTGAGTGTCAGAACCACAGTCCAGGATGAGACAAGAACCATCCACGAATACATCACGAAGATGACCCCAACTGACAGCGTGCTCAGTGAATACCTCAGGCAGCAGAAACCCAAGAAAAGAGGAGGAAGGCGAGAAACCATCATGGAAGGACAAGCCCCTGCACGTTATGTACCACCGCCAGATAGAGGAAGGGGCTGATATCCAGAAATCCTACCATTGGCTGGACAAAGCCAGACTGAAAGCAGCACAGAGGCACTAATCATGGCAGCACAGGAACAAGCTCTGAGCACAAGATCCATAGAGGCTGGGGTCTATCACACCAGGCAAGACCCCAGGTGCAGGCTGTGTAAAGATGCCCCTGAGACAATCCAGCACATAACAGCAGGGTGCAAGATGCTAGCAGGCAAGGCATACATGGAACGCCATAACCAAGTGGCCGGCAAAGTGTACAGGAACATCTGTGACACATCTGTGATAAAGACAGACAAAATGGTGGTGGTATATATATATGTTAGGGCTGTCAGCGTTAATTGCGTTAAAGTGATGTTAACGCCAAAACCCCGTTAACGCGGCATATCTCCGTTAACGAGTCACCCTTTGCATGGGGCTTGACGGTGTCAACATGTTAATGCGGGTAGCTCGATTAACGCATTAGAGCTGTCCAGCCCCAAGCAAAATATATATATATATATACATACATATATATATTGCAGCTTGCAAACAAAGACAAAAAACCTTTCACCAAACAAACCTCAGTATTGGCAACAATGACGTTTTTTTTTTTTCCCTGCAGGGTGCAGTTCAGGGTGTGGATTTAACGTGTACACTAAGCACCTTTCTTCTTATGTATTGTACGAGGAGAATGAAAACAAACCTGAGTGACAGGATGTCAACGTGACATTTTGACTCTGAACTGTTGACTGAAGGCTCGGTGTTGGCACACCTCATGTGGCGTTTGCTGAAAAAACGAACAAAGACAATAAAACTTTTACCAAACAAACCTCAATATTGGCAACAATGACGTTTTTTTTTTTTTTCCCTGCAGGGTGCAGTTCAGGGTGTGGATTTAACGTGTACACTAAGCACCTTTCTACGGAAGCGTAGAGCTGCCACCCAGGCAAAAGAAAAATACAAGTGTATCACGTTATAACGTGAAAAGTTTATTGTTCTAACAAGATACTTTTCCTGTTTGTACAATATACTATCATGTTTGTACAATATACTTTTCACGTTTGAACAACATAATATCACGTTATTACAATATACATAATTATCACGTTCGTACAATATAATTATATTGTACGAACGTGATAATTATGTATATTGTACGAACATGATAGTATATTGTACAAACAGGAAAAGTATCTTGTTAGAACAATAAACTTTTCACGTTATAACGTGATACACTTGTATTTTTCTTTTGCCTGGGTGGCAGCTCTACGCTTCCGTACCTTTCTTCTTATGTATTGTACGAGGAGAATGAAAACAAACCTGAGTGACATGATGTCAACATGACATCTTGACTCTGAACTGTTGACTGAAGGGTCGGTGTTGGCACACCTCATGTGGCGTTTGCTGTAATGACACAGGGTGCTTGCTTGTGCTGAATGTTGTTGACAGAAGTTTGCGCAAAGGAAAGAGATTTTGTCTAATTTGCTGTAATTGATTGTGGTAACAAGTAATTTGCTTGATAAACTCATACAGTATCTATGTGTCTCAGGGGTGGTAAAAGGGAGTTTTTGGAAGGGACAGCTGTGGTTCCAGACCGACAAGAACCAGCTAAGCTTGGAGTTTCCTTCTCATATTGTAAGTATTTTGTTATCATCCCATTTAAATCATAAAGTACTCTATCATCATTAAAGGGCAAAAGAAGTACATAACTTATGGCATTTCTATTGGACCGCATTAAAAATGACCATAAAATCATTCTCTGTAGCGTTGGTAGAGATAGATTGTGGTTTCTTAGTGTAGTAGTTTAAATATTCATCTTGCAAGCAAAAGATTTGTGGTTTAATTCTTGGAGGGTTTGGGGGTGTGTCAGGATGAAAAACTGGTGTAAAAACCTGCCAAATGAGACATGTGGAACCAGCTGCTGTGGGAGCCCTTTGTGAATAAGGGAACAGCTGGAAGTAGTTTCAGTCCCAGTGACTTCTCAGAAACAATTTGGTGCCCCTTATTTATGGCTTTGAGAATGCCAGCAACCAAGAGATGGCAATGTCACGCAGTTGACCAAAAACTGAATATTAAAGATGGAAGGAGTAATCAAATGTAGTGGTATACCATTTCACAACCTCAAGTTTGGCTGGCAAATTCATGTTTAAAAAAAAACAAAAAAAAAACTAACAAACTCATTCACCTTTTGGATCTGATGATAGCGCAGATCTGCAATTTGCAGCCAAGGTGCTAAGTGTCATCCATAACACTTCACACTAGGACACACACCACTTTAGTGCAAGCTGGAGATCATTAGTCAACAAGTCAGCAGGATAACAAATTCAAATCGGAGACATGATCCTGAGATGACCAAAGGTGTCACTGTATGCTCTGTTTGATATCTAAATGCAGCAAAGGGGCAATGTGGACCAAGATCTCACTGCAGCTGTATGGATCATTACACCTCATATATAGTGGCTTTGTCATTTTACTTTTTATGCCTTTGTATTTGGAGTAATGTATATCATGTTGCATCAATTCTGCTTTTCAAATCGAAATCATTTGCAAACTCACCCATATAAAAGTTTGCTATTGTCTGTATTTTATCTTTCTGTGGCTGTGCTTTCTGTTACCAGTTACACCCTATGGCCCATACTGGGTGCTGGAGACAAACTACACCAACTACACCATTGTGTACTCCTGCACAGACATTCTGCGCATATTCCACGTTTACTACGCCTGGATTCTCGCACGGTCACCCTCCCTGCCTCCAGAGACGGTGCATTACGCCAAGCAGTTGCTGACTAATAAAGGAATCTATATTTCCAAGATGACTCCCACATATCAGAGCTGTGGAAATATTTAGGAACTGACAGAGAGGTTCATTCATTAAAGAGTTTTTCTGTTTGTAGAATTATTTATCCTACCAGCCATGAAATCACAGTACATCTGTTACATTGTTTCTTTTTATTTCATTTATTTCTTTGTTTCATCATTGTTTTGTCATTTGATTACAAAGTGAATGGATTAAAGTAATATTTTGAGATAAAGTTCATTTGATAATTAAAACATTTATATAGTACATATTCTTGCAAAGAATTAAATACTACATCTGTAAAAAAGTGATTGTTTTGCATGCTAATTAGTCAATGAAAATAGCAACATCCTTTTTATATTCTATCTATAGTGCATCTTTTATTATTTACAACAATGAGCAAATCAAGCTGTTCTTGGTGATGGAGCAAAAAAGAAACTGTGGATCTGTTCTACTTAAATTAGAGCTGTTTTTTTTTTTCATTTGAACTGGAAATAATCCATTGAACATACAGTCCTGTCTCACAGTGATGTAATAAATGATTCTATGTGCAACTTTAAATACTGATGAAATTAATCAGAATTCACTGATGAGTGGGTGACAACATCAACACTGTGCAGTGAAAAAGAAGGTGAGAAACTAGGTAGGTAACTAGTCTTCTCAGGAGTGGACATTGCAGCAAATTCACTCCAAAGCCAGGCTGTGCATTGCTCAGAGAAACTGCAAAAAACCCAAGAGCTACTCTTCAAATTCTACAGGCCTCATTTAGCGTTATGGTCCTGGGTCGGTGACCCGGTGTTTTGAGTCTTGTACTTTTGTTTTCTTAGGATGGTTGTGTTTTGAGTTTTTGGTTTCCTGTCGCCAAAGTGCTTGCTCATAGGGGGTCATATGATTGTTGGGCTTTTCTCTGTATCTATGAAGCGCCTTGAGGCAACATTTGTTGTGATTTG